AGGAAGAAGATGAGTAATCGATTTCTTTAGATTTCGTTCTAATGATGTGGTCGCATTTTGATTTACCAACTCTGTTTTTTTATTACCAAAAGTCCTGCCGGATCAAAATTTATGGAGCATAAATATCATTATTTCTCAATTTATTGAAACACAATGAATCGATTTAAACTCACAAAAACGAATTCAATTAATATGATTCGATGTTTAATGATATTTATGTATTGGAAAAATGAATACTATCAATCGAAAAGTACATAACATTGTTGACAACTTTTCATTTGTCTTCATATGTCTTTTTCCTCCGACCATTTTAGTTGTGTCCAGGTCACGCCGAAAACGCATGCTTAGCCAGCAAGATATTACCCTTAATGGGCCATTCACAAAGCCCATAATAATAAGCCCTAATCCCAAGCCCAGAATCCAACTTTTTGACTTTGATTATCATCGTCCATTCCATTCACTCGCTCTTATCGAAAAACCAAAAAACCCTAGCCTACATTCTCACGCGCTCCGTTACTTTCACGCGCTTTGAGCTTATCTAACCAACAACGTCGTTTTACTATAGTTTGTTCCTCACGCGCGAGTGGAGAGCAAGTTTCTTTTACAGCTCAATATGACTCGGCTTTGAGTTTCCTTTTTTTTTTCCCCTTTTATTCTTCTTTTCCTCTTCTCCTCACTTTCTTCCGATTTTCAAAAAAATTTCCGTGAAAACAACGCATAGAAAAAAAAAAAAAAAATTCCGAGATCTCTCTCTAATGGCGACGACGTTGAACAGAGATCAATACGTTTACATGGCGAAGCTCGCCGAGCAAGCTGAGCGTTACGAAGAGATGGTTCAGTTCATGGAACAGCTCGTAACCGGAGCTACACCCGCCGGTGAACTGACGGTGGAGGAGAGGAATCTTCTCTCCGTCGCTTACAAGAACGTGATCGGATCTCTTCGCGCCGCGTGGAGAATCGTCTCTTCGATTGAGCAAAAGGAAGAGAGCCGGAAGAACGAGGAACACGTGTCGCTCGTCAAGGATTACAGATCTAAAGTTGAGACTGAGCTTTCTGAGATCTGCTCTGGAATTCTCAGGTTGCTTGATACGCATCTGATTCCTTCGGCGATTGCTAGTGAGTCTAAGGTTTTTTACTTGAAGATGAAAGGAGATTACCATCGTTATCTAGCTGAGTTTAAATCTGGTGATGAGAGGAAAACTGCTGCTGAAGATACCATGATTGCTTACAAAGCTGCTCAGGTAGATTTGTTTTTCTTGAATCTCTTTTTTAGGGAGATACTGTGAATCGATCTAGGCTCCCTAATTCTGAGATTACTTCTATGAACAGTTCCTGGTGTTGGTTTGTCTTGTAGTTAGTAATTGGCCTCGAATCTGAGCTATTGTAGTGATCAAATCGTCAACCTTTACAATTTCGTCTTATACAGCATTCAGTTGAGAAGTACTTTTCAGAAGTTTATGGCTTGTGATGCAAATGATCGCTCACATGAATGTTTTCTCTGTTTCTTTTGTTTTTTTGGTCTTTGAAGGACGTTGCAGTTGCTGATCTAGCTCCTACACATCCGATCAGGCTTGGTCTAGCCCTCAATTTCTCGGTGTTTTACTACGAGATTCTCAATTCTTCAGAGAAAGCTTGTAGCATGGCCAAACAGGTACTTTCTTTTCCGTCCTCTTAAATTGCTGTTATGTTTTCAATTAGAATCCTTTTTTGCAATTTCTCTTGTGTCTACTACAAAACATAAATCATTGTCTGGGTTTGGTTATGAAGATTTTTTTTCTCTGTTTCTTGCTTGATGTTTTGAGTGACTAATTTGATGAGTGATATGACCACTTTGTTTACTATTCCAAGTGTCCCCATCTTGCATTCATTGTGTTGAGGATTTGATTTGAGTGAATTTCGAAACATTACTAGAAGTAGAGGAAGTTGGTAATAGAAAAGTAACTCTTTCTTCTTTCTGAACGGACCCACTTGTTTTAAATAAACAGAGATTCTAAAGAAAAAGACATCCTGTAAAAGTCATCTTTTTTTTTAATAACCTTTTTGACTAAAAGGCTTCACATTACTAACCAAATTATTCCTTTTGTCACTAGAATCTCTTAGAATAACTGACTTTAGAACCACAATATCTCATACCAGAATGAGTAGATATGTTCATTGATCACATATGCAAGATTTAGTAAGACTTAAGAAGAGAGATCTGATCATTATGTTTCTAACTTGTGCTTGTTGGATTCATCACAATGTAGGCTTTCGAAGAAGCTATTGCTGAGCTGGACACGTTGGGAGAGGAATCATACAAGGACAGTACTCTCATCATGCAGTTGCTAAGGGACAATCTAACCCTTTGGACCTCCGATATGCAGGTTAGTCCAATTCTCTGCCCTTTTTTGTATTCAATCACATCATTAGAAATCATCGCTTAGAGTCATGGTTACGGGTTTGGCTCTATAAGACCTTTAAATAGTGACACCCCAAAAAACTCAATGATTGAATTGCTTTATTCAGGAGCAGATGGATGAGGCCTGAAGGTCTTATGGAAGTAAGGACGGTTATGTAATGTTCCTGCAACCGTAACCGTAACCGAAACTCAAGTTCAAACCCTACCTTTGCTCTAAAACTTGTCGAAAAAAATATGTTGTTTTTTATGTGCACAGCTTTGGTGTTATCTGCTGCTCTGTTCCAACTCTCTCTTCTTTTTTTTTAACATTTATCATCTTCTTCACTTTTGTCTCAAAACTCTGAATTTCAAACATTCACAGTCGCCCAAATCTTTAGCTTTGACTGTGAATTATTCGAGAGTCTATGCTGCGATGAAACGCTGCGTTTTAGGATCTAGTTAAACTAAATTGTTCCACTTGGGGAGTGATTAATCTTGTTTGCGGTTTGGTTTTATCAGATTAAAATCAATAATAAAAAAATCTTTGTAATTTATTTCTGTTTCGGTTCAGTTTAATAAAATTTCGGTTTGGTTTGTTTTTAAGGTGGATTAGTTGTTTATTTGTATAGGGATAAATTGAACTTTAATAATTTTGTTTATTCAGTTTGGGGTACATTAAAATCGGTTTTAGTTTGGATTCGGTTCCGATAAAGCATACTTGAACAAAATTTAATGTCGGTTTGGTTTGGCTTGGTTTTTCTTTCTTTGTTAAAGTCCGTGCTCAGCCTTTCCGCTTGAAAATTTTAAAATAAAGGTTAAACCTCGGATTCGAACCATCAGGCCATGTGATTAGGGTCAAGTCTTCGTTAAGTTGACCATAGGCGTGCATAAAACACAAAATTATTTATTCACGATAAAGAAAGTTAAAAGAGGCAGAAACTAAAAGGTTCGAATCTGAGAACACACAAAGATAAGCAAAACATCAAAAGTGTACTTGGACCACTTTTGTCTGTCATTTGCATGCATGGAAAATAAAATATATATCATAAAGAGTGAGTCTTTTAGGTTCAATTTGAAAAAAAAAACCTCTTTTTTACAGTAAACCTTCGTTTCATCTAACCATAACTTTTTAGAAAAGAAAATTAAAGACTGTATAAAACCTAAAGTTTATTTAGCTGATCAGCTCACACGTGATTTCAATTCACGTTGTTACTACTACCACAAAAATAAAAACACATTGGTGAAAACGAAACAAATTATTTCTTTTTTACTTTAATTGATTCTCCAAACCGAGTCAGCGAAACATATTTTTGAAAAATTTATGTGAATGATAACAAATAATTTTTGCATTCCGTGAAAATAAAGTGGAATAGTAGTGGAAACCTATGGCTCCATAATCATTTGAAAAAAAAAAATGAAACTTAAAGAAGATTTTCGTGTTTACAAAAAAAAAAAAAAATTCATTTGTTTGTAGTATTTTCTCAGTCAACTCGTCATGTAGCGGTTTTTTTAGTGGCGGAAACTACTAATCACCTCAAAAATATATATATACTCTGATGTGGAATCATTGGAGGTGATTGATCACTAGTCCTGGGTTCGAAAACTTGACCTCCACTTGGGGATAAAGAAAAATAATAGACATTAAAGAGAGACATTATAGTTAATCTTATATGTTGGGTAAAACAAAAGACAGTTTCTTTGGGTAAGATAAAACCATAGTAAAGAAAGACCATATTGCATTTAAAAAAAAAACAAAGACCATATAGTAAAGTTCTCATTTCATACAGTATGCTTATTTCTTTCAAAGGTGTATATGTAATGATGTAGCTGTTGAGATTATTGCATCTTAGAGTGACATTAGAGTCATTTGCCCCACCGCAAAAAAAAGTGACATTAGAGTCAAAAAAAAAAATTGGTCAAAGATCAGACAGAGCAAATGCTTCAAACATCATTATGGATAGATTTTGAGTCAAAAAAAAACATTTAAACCATATTTTTATTTATGGCATGTCAATTTGAATTTGCAATAGTTTGTTTGAATCTTTTTTTTTCATTTTTATTAGATTTAGAAAATAAAATCTCATGATTCGACGAATGTTTTCGCCAAAAAAAGAACGATATCATAATCTCAAATTTGTATAGTTTAGCAAGTAAATTCCATCACTTTTATTCTTAAATTACATGTAGATACTAATCTGATTGTGTTGAAATTCATGAAAATGTTTTATTAAATTTTAATGAATATGATACCCAAAACTATTAGTCAAACCATATCTATTGCAACTATAACAAAGTACAAAATCATGACATACAAAAACAATATGTAAAATCATATAATGTGATCATATTTTTCAACATAGTCTATTTAAACATATTTTTCAAATACAAAAGTGTAAAAGTTTTACCGCGTATATAAAACTGAAATCTTAAATACATTTAGCGCGGAATATAGTATCAAACTACCAACCAAAATACGACGAATACAAACAACAATAATGAGGAAACAATATGTTACCATGATAGGCATATTAGTCAATAATCACTTTCTAAAATATTGAAAATTTTCATCCTCTTCTCCAATTCTCTTATCACACACATTACCCAAACTTACCCTACAAAAACCACATTTTTTCTTCACTTCTTCCTCAATAATAAAAGAACAAAAAGCTCCTCCCTTTAATTTTTACCGTCAACCC